TTAATGAAAAGAAATTGGTTTACAATGGGTTTTTTAGAAATTTTACGGAGGTTTGAGGTTCTTCATCTAAAAACATCAGAATGCTTCCCTAAGTCTTACACTGCAAAGTGGGAGAGAGAAAGGGCACGTGTAAAGGAAAGAGTTCTGGAGGAAAATTCCGGAGACTCGGTTCTGGTCCTAGCTCTGCCTGCAACCAAAGCGTGTTTCTGCAGGCCGTCACCTCCCCTCCCCAGGCCTCAGGGGTCCTTGCCCCTAAAATGAAGGAGTTAGACTACAAGCACTACAAAGCCCTTTCCCACGCTCCATGAGGCGATGATTAGGAAGAAGAAAGATGTCACTGGCAATGTGGACAAGGCCAACTGAACATACTAAGGGCTGCTGAACACACGAGACCCCCAAAGTTCCCTGAGCACCCAACCGGGTCAGAGGGCAAGGGGAGCAGCAGAGGTTCCTCGCCATCCCACAGGTGTTCCGAGGTCTCTAGCACTGCAGGAAGAGGGATGAGGAGGAGACGCTGTTAGACACAAACACTCTCTGGCTGCTTGATAAGAACAGCAGGAGGTGAGAGCTAGAAACCCCTCAATATCTAACTGCACACCGACTGGATGAAACACAGTTGAGAAAAGACAGCCTTGCAGATCTTGAGTCCCACTGACTGAACTAGTCCCTCTCCCTCTAGCTGGCACCATTAGTATTTTCTCCATTTGACCCATCTGGACAGAACTGTAATACAACTTACTACAACAGGGGTACCCAGAATCTGGTGAGAGCACAGACAACCTAGGGCCTGGGAGAAAGAGTTCTAATGTCTGATTAAAAAATTCCAAATGATCAAAAGCAATGGCCTTGGTAGCTGTTGTTCCCTTCACCTCCTCACCATTCCTCTCTCCAACTTTAACCATACTTTTCAATCCCTGTCTGCCCAGACCCTCCACTTAATTATTTAAGTCTCAAAATGCTAATTACATAAGGTGGAGAAACCTCTATTTCAATTCATTAGAATCTGTTCATATCATAGTAATTTTCTTAAGAGTTCTTTGAACTTGGGCTAGATTTGGTAACATCATAAAAAGGAAGGACACTACAACTTCAATTCATGACAGATCGGTTTGACATGTATGAAAATGACAAAAAATTAAGTGTTTCCAATGGGCCTGTCTTATAACTACTGACAGACTTCAAGGAAATTCTATACACAGAAGTTACAGATGACGCACACTAAGAGACATATGCCATCATTACATGACCGTTACCCCAACTAATCTTTTTAAATTGCATGATGAACTAAGGGAAGAAAAACACTGTAATAAACTGACGCATAATGAATGTCAAGCTAAATTCTCTCCTAGGTCCCTGAGGACAGAAAAAAATGGCATATCCAAGGAGAAAGAAAGGAACATCTTATTCCATGAACCAGCAGGGATATGTCTTCTAAAGAGAGAGATGGGACAAACACGTGTGGATAAATGACTATGACTCTGCAAAGCTAAATATATGAAAGCAGAGAGAACACTGTAACAAACACAGAGACAATAACCAGGTGGAAAAAAAGAATTTTCATTGGGAAGTTTTGTAGGGAAGGAGATTTTTTAAGCACTGTTTTGAAAGTGAGAGAGCCATGTTTAGGCAGAGAGGTACCTACTCTGTATATGGCCATCCTCTTAGTGAGCATCTGCGCTGAATGCTGTTAAAAAAGTGTTAGGCATTACAGAAGACAGCCTATTTGGTTTCAAGATGACTGACACAGCTGAAGGGATGAACTGAATTCTTTTATAAGAACAAGATATAGGTCCAAAATTCAAATAACTCCATTAAAAGCTACTGTAAACTCTTTTACATGCACTACACCTCATATAACCCTCACAATAACTCAATGTAGGAGCTAAGTGGTCCATTTTTTGGCTGAGGAAACTGAGCTTCAGAAATTAAATAATATGCCAAAAATCACAGAGCTCTAAAGCAGCAGATTTCAAACACAGGCAAGTCTATCAAACTTAAAGTCTGTGATCTTAACCATTATGGGAGGTAGGTACAAGAATACAAAGAAACTAAATCTCTAATAAGGCGAACCTAAAAGAAAGACTTTCAAAAAGTCATCCAAAGTAAAACACTTTCTTATGCTGTGGCATGATAATATGTGTTTCTCTACCTCTATCCATTCCAATAAAAATTTTATTTGGTATAACTCCATCTGATTTTCCCAAGTGTGTGTGTTTGTGTGTGCAGTGGCTATATAATGTCTCTAGTTAGAGGGAGAATTGGCCACAGAGGACTAGCTGTTTTCTCTGAGAAGAGAGACGCCTGCTGTCCACCAGCCCCCTCTGGTACTCTTCCCTGAAATCATCGCTCCCTCTGCCAGCCATAGAGTGTCTGAGAACAGATGGTCAGGGACGGGTGCCGGTGAGGCCGTCATCCCTGTAGCTCCCCTACTGCTTCAACACTAGAAAGCAAATATATGACAGCAGCTGGAGGGCAGAACTAGGGCTGAGAAAGAGCACTATGACTAAAAGACCAGAAGTAGGAGGTAGACTTTTCCCAGCATGAATGTTTGCTGCCCCTACAATGGAGTTACTTTGGTCTGTTTCCTGGAGAGAAAAACACTAGTTCATGACCACAGACTGTTCCTGAATCCTAACTTGGGTGAACTCTACTGTCCAAGCAAACAGGCGGACAAGGGCCAGAGGTCTTTGGGATCTTCCCCTTACTCTGGGTACAAGGCCAGGCCTGCCTTCTTAGCCAAATGAAGGGGAAGGGTCAGGTTTGTCACTAAGTACCACAGACCCAGATGACTAGTAGTGGGACAGAGCATGAAGCAAAGTGAAAATGACTTTGGCCTACCTATAATCCTCCAAACTGGAGAGACTTACACCACCACAAGCACATTTGATTTCTCATCCACTACCATCACATGGCACGCAATGCATGTCCTACTCAAAACCACCCACTTGCCAGGGCCTGAGTGTGCCATGCTCACCCATGCCTCTAACTTTCCTGAAACAGACTACCCATCCACCCCCCTAAACTAACTTGTGAACTCTTACTCGTTCTCCAAATATCAGCTCTAAGATGTTCTCCCCATCCAACCCCCAGGAGTCTTCTCTCCCAGGGACAGGTAAGTACCCTTTCTCTCTGACCTACGTGTTACAGCACATATTGTAACACATTAGAATTCTCAGTTTGCACAACCTTCTCCCCACTAGGTAGGAAGTTCTTTAAGGGCAAAAAATATGCTTTATTAAGATGATACTGCCTTGTTCATGGTAGATGCTAGATAGTCTAATGCAAAGAATTGATCCAATTAAACATATGGAAGCATAAAAGACTGTTCTCAAGGGACTATGGTCTTACCTTCAGAGTTTAAAGTAAGAGAAAGTCAACAGCACTGACTACCCTGAAGCCATGTATAAAGTGCTTGCTGTGCACCTAGAATGGTTCCAAGCACCGGGTAGGACTGGGGAAATGGTGGGAGGAACAAGTGAAAATGAGATGGTGTCTTGTCTCATATAAAGTTTACATGCTACTTCTTCACACCAACTGAAATAAAAAGCACTGAGGATCTATCTTCATTGTGCTTCTCGCAAATGTTCCTCTGGCTCAGAGTACTATACTGCTGTTTTCCAAAAAATGAAGCCATATACACAAAGCAATCTCCCGCACATGGACAACTGACTATATGTTCAAGAATATTTATAGCGAATGTGTTTGCAGTCGCTGAAATCCCAGCACCAACCTGAAAGCCCATTAATGGGAGAGTGAATGAATAAACTGAATATAACCCCAAATGGGATATTATACAGCAGTCGAAACAAATGAACGACAATGACAACATGTAGCAATAGAGATGAATAGCAGTAAAAATATTAAGGGAAAAAAGTCCCAAAAGATTATATATAGTCTGATATTTTTATACAGGTAAAATAAACTATACACCTGCATAGATGCAAATATTTTCTGTCTTCATGTAGGCCATTTTTAGACCTACATATAGAAAGGAGAGTAAGGGACCGATGCACACACGATTCAGGTGATGGTTACCTTGGGCAGGGGAAGAGAGCAGGATAAGATGTAGGAGGACCATCATCTGGTCAGATGCATGTTATTTTCGCAGCCCTAGCTTTTGTTTTAGGCAATGTGTTTATGGCTGCCTTACTTTAAAAAAGTAAAAATGTGAAGAATATGAGTCATGAAGTAAGGATTATGAATAATCAAATTCTTAGCATATAAAGTCTAATACCAAACAACAACAAAATGAAGTTACGAGAATATTATAACATGGTGCCTAACTCTATGCAAAATGGACAGGTGTCCTTTAAGGAGGGCATTGAGAGGGCAGCTCGTGCCACATTCTGCCACTAATTGATTTCCACCATGTGGATACTAACATGGGCATCCACATGTCCCAGTGTCAATCCACGGAGCCCTCTTTTTCCTCGTGGCATTTCCTGGAGGAACTTGAGCTCTGGACAACGCTGGATGCACTTCAGTTACCCCAGCACCACAAAGCACTCATGGACCAGCATTCATCTCATCTTCTTATATTCTGACCCTTTTCAAATTGCATCATAAATTCATGCTTGTGACACTGAGTACATAGAGCTTCTGGCAAGGACATCACTCTATCTGCGAATGAAAATCAATCAATTCTCTCTTCTTCTAGAAGTTAAACCAAGCAGACAAAGCTCTCTCTGGATGGTTTGGACCATATGCCCTGGGGAAAGCGTGCAGCAGATGTCTGAGAAATAGACAGAGGGGAGGGAGAGAAGAGTCTCCCCATGGGAGACAAATGATTCTGGAGAAAATGCAGCCCAGAGGCAAAAGTGGTCAGCCAGGACACTGAACCATGTCCACTGTCCACAAAGACATGGCAAAGGGCTCTCTTCAAACACCCTCAAACCAAGCCCCTAACCTTAAATTTCAGTTGATGGCAGTTTATTTGTTTCTTTTATAAAGAGCTAGAGAGTGAAACATTGGAATCAGAAAGGGAAATGTTCTTTGCTCACCTAAGCCTGCCATTTTTATGCCAGGATGAGTGCAAACAATCAAGTTTTCTTCCTGGAGAAGACTGGGGACGAGCGAGCTAGAATTTAAAATAAAATTAAAAAGTCAAAGTACTGTGCTATGTCTAAATATTCAAAGCATAACTTATGAGCATAATTAAGGCTTGAGCCCTCCACCTCCCCACCACCTGCAGCCTGATCTCTACATTTCATGTAGGCCCCTTCCTCTATCTATTTCAGCTTTTGCAGGGTCCTTCAAAGCACACAGCCATGTTATGGTACTCACTCCCCCTCCCCTTTCCTCTCCAGAGGGGTTCACTCTACTTACATACTTTATCCTTCTTCCACAATCCCAGACACCCCACATTTCCCTGCCTGACTGAGTCCTGGGCCTCCTTCCCAGTAAATAATCTTGGTAAGATCTTGCCAAAACATTTCTTAATCACGTATTTTCTTTGTCTGAAAAGTTATAGATGTAGTAAGTCACCTTTGTTCCTAGTCCTTCCCACATGTTCAGGAGTCCCTGTTATTTATTGTTAAGCTCAGTGTGCCTCTGTCAGCCACCACCACGTACACTTTCTTTTGGAGCCTGGATTGAAACCCTGGACTAATCAGCATTGAGCAGAAAGTTGTGGTTATTCCCCCAACCATGCTCTCTACATATAAAAGTCTTAACCAGGTGATCACAAAGGATTCTTCCAAGTAGCCCCTGGGGTCTAGAGCCAAGTCTTCAAGTGCAGCTGTGGCTTTGGCGCCTCTGGGTCTCTGCGAAGCACCACTCTCCTTCTGAGTTTCCAGGGTTGCTCTGAAATGTTCTGCATTCTTTGGCCCCAAATGGAGAGAAGAGAGAAGGGATCCCCGTGGAGGAATGGCACTGCCTGGATTTACCTTCTTCCATCTGAGAAGGCAGGTTACACACCAGCACTTAGGCCTGATGACTATGATTTTGAAGTTATTGATCCCTCAAGGCTAAGGGAGAAAAGACTAATGAAAATCAGACAAACTCCTGCACAACCACAAGGCTGACGCAGAAATGATTAGAAAGCCCAGACTCGAACCATGGTGCTTGCCCTGCAATGTCATGTCCCTCTGTGAGATCCGTCCTCCCAAACTGTTGGGTACAGGTTATTTTCTTGATAAGTTCATTCACTGGTCCTCCAACTGCCTTCCTGATCGAGTCCAAATGCCTTTAACCTGCACTGAAGGCCTTTTCAGTGTGTCCCTGAAAACTCACCTTTTACTCTTTCCCCGTCTACACCTGCCGTCTCTGTGAGGTCACGTGGGTCTTTTGTCCAAAGGTCCCCCTTCACCCAGGTTTTCCTGGGCCACCCTGGCATAAATAAGGCTGTGGCTCTGGACTCAGGCAGTCCAGAATCTAACGGAGGCTTCACCATTTCCTTGCCATGTGACCCCGGGCCAATTCGCAAATCCTGCCTCAGTTTCCTGATCTATAAAAGAAACAATAATAGCAATGCCCATCTCACGTGGGCGACATGAAGATTAAATGAGTGAACATCTATAAAATCTAGAATAGTGCCTAGTACATGGTAAACACTCAATATGTGGCTTTGTCATTATTTGGTGGTTGTTATCATGATTCTAGTTTGCAACAAACTCTCTCCTTCCTTTAAACCCCTTTAGCACACATTTGCATATGGCATTGATCACATACTGATTTTCCATACTACTTATCTTCTTATACATATATCTTATCTCAGTTAGGCTACAAGTTCCCTAAAGGTAACGACTATAGCACATGAGCTTTTCTTTCGCTGCAATACTTGGAAGTGTCTTAAACGCAATAAATGCTTGCTACTAACAACAGCACAATAATACTTATTAAGCTCTACTTTAGCCACACTGTGCTAAGTCCTTCACATGCATTAGCTCACTTAATTAATTGATTTCTCACACTCAGTGATCTTAAGTAAATGAGTGGTAAGCTCAAATGGTTTCTATCCATTTTCTCATTTAAAAAAAAGGTTATTGCCAAGCAAACTTAAATTTTAAGAAAGCAGATAGTACAGAGTATTGAGAGTCACCACAGACTGTCACTGCGCTGCAATCTCTGTACCACTCCAAAAATTTCCCAGACCCTTTCTGACAGGGGAGGGATGCAGAGTGGTCTCTGAAGGGTCTAAAAGCTCATTTTAAAAAAAATGTAGTGAATTCCTGACAGATGTAAACAATAACTTCCGAGTTCGCCTTTGACAGTTCCAGCCCCTGAAGACTGGCTGAATAAACAAAGACCAACTGAATCTACTATACACTCTCTCCCACCTACTGGTATCCCGCATACTAGAAGGAAAATATAAAACTTGGGCCCTGGTGAACACAAAGGCACTGATTTTTGGCAGATGAAGGAGACAAATGACAGAGAGCAATAATTTCACAAAAACTGCAAAGCTATCCACAGACTTTAAAGTAGCTGATGTTTAAGCCTAAGAAACCAGAACCTTTTTCAGAAGTGATGGTTTCTTTGACAGAAGTTTCTTAGGTTAAATCAAAGATAACATTTTAAGCTGTTTTTACAACACAATGGAATTTTACTTTGGGTGAAATTCAGTGAATAGGAACCTTGAAGATTTCCTTGTAAAAAGAAAACTATGTGAATCAACAAATACCTCCACCATGGACTAACTGAAATGTCTACCAATGTTTAGTCTGACTGTGCTGGTTGTGTTTGAAGACAGGCCGACAAACTCTTTGTATGTATATATAAGGACTGTTTCTTTCCAATTCTTCTTTTAATGGCTAAGAAGAAAAAGGCTGAAATCATCTACTTTTGTTCAATCTTATGAACATAATACCCCATTTAATTTTTATTACAAAAAAAAGATTAGGACAAGCATGTATTCTAATTGGCTATTACATTTAAATCAAATGTGAGACTATCTTCTCTATGCACCTTTTCCTTCCTTCCTATCACCCACATATATATTCATATATACATGTAAATACGTGTGTGTGTGTCTGTTATTATTGTTGGTTTCTATATGTTCGTTTCTCACTTCCTAGTTTTTACTCAGAGGAGGAAAAAAAGAAGTTGTCACTTTTATTTTACCCAGAAAAAATCAGGAAGTGCCCAGAATCTCAAGAGGGAACCTGCCATATAGAAATTAGAACTCTATTATTACAGAGAGGAGGTTCTGTGCCCATAGGAGTTTGCATATTTCAAAGGGTCTTTAAGTAGCCTAAATTTGCAGTGTCATTTTCTTCTGGAATGCCCAGGGGCAATTAAACAAATCAGCTAAAAATGATCACAAAGTTCGATATCAGAATTTTTTAATGGTTCTATTTACCCTGCTGAAAAGTTAGACACTGAGAAAGTTATACATTCCAAGTGACTATAATTAAAGCCAGCGTTAACAGTGAAAAAAAGTCTGCTTGATTAGATGACGCTCCCCAAGCCCACCAAACACGCAGTGTACTAACAAGTCCCTCCAACTGCCAGGGAAGCTATTCTCAGCTCCTCTTCATCCTGTCTCAGCTCCCATGACACCTCTCAGGACTTCCCTGACCACCCACCTGGAACAGCCACACTTTCACCTGGGTCATTCTCTTTCCTTTATCCATTAGGTTTGCTTCAGAGCACTCATTATTAACAAAAATAATCTTGTTGGTTTTTTAACTTATTTTTTGTAGGTCTCCTCACACAAGAATATTGGCTAGCAGGTATCAAAACCTTACAGGCCAGCCCTGGCCAGTGTGGCTCAGTTTGGTTGGAGCGTTGTCCAGTACACCAAACGTGTCGGGTTTGATTCCCAGTCAGGGCACATAGCCAGGTTGCAGGTCTAATCCCGGTCAGGGGCAACCAATCAGTGTTTCTTTCTTTCTCTCTCTCCCTCTCTCCCTTTTCCCCTTCCTCTCTTAAAAAAAAAAAAAAAAAAAAAAAAAAAAAAAAACAATTAAAAAATTAAAACAAAAACAAAACAAAAACCTTACAGGCCTTACTTTTAAAGGCTGCATCCTCAGTGCCTAAAACACTAGGTATATTTGAACTCTAGATATTAATTAGATAATATGAAGAACTACTATTAGATTTATTAGGTATGGTAATGACATTTTGTTTATTTTTTTAAGTCTGTAAAAGACATATACTTAAGTACTTATAGATGAAATTATATGAGGGATTTATACTTCAAAACAATAAGTGGGAAAGGTGTGAGAAAAATATGGTAGGACAAGACTGATCATGTATTGATTGAAATTGTTGAAACTAAGTGATGAGTATATATAGTTCATTACAATGTACTCTTTACTTCTGAATATGTGTGGAAATTTTTCTAATAAAATCTTAAAACCTAAATGAAAAAAATGAAACAGGTAATATCCCACAAATTTAACTGCACATTTATTTGATTTTAGGAGACAGAACGTCTTTCTAAGTAAAATATCGAAGGAATAAACAAAGCCTTTTTTTAAAGCTACATAAATCTAGATGTTCCTTCAGTTTATCCAATTAGTGATGACTCAAAGCATGCCACAGATGAGAAGTATCTATGATACAGTAATTTATCTACCACTAAGGAAAAATGCTTTATCATTTAATTTGTACTTTTTGAAAGAACTTTTAGATATACACATGTTTACTGTCATCTTGTGCAAATATTTAGAGAAAAAGAAGTGACACTGATTGGTCATTGTGTTCCTAAAACTTCCTATATGCAGGATCAACTCCCTTGAATCACTTTTTTTTTAAATCAGAATGATTATTTTCTTTAATCCTCACCTAAGTATATGTTTTTATTGATTTGAGAGAGAGAGAGAGAGAGAGAGAGAGAGAGAGAGAGAGAGAGAAACATCAAACACTTGCCCCCCTACTCACCCTGAGGACTGAACCCACAACCTAGATATGTGCCCTCACTGGGAATCAAACCTGCAACATTTTGTTGTACAGACGACACTCTGACCAACTGAGCCACCAGGCCAGGGCTCCCTGGACTCACTTTTGACTCATTTGTCAATGTCTGTGACAAATGACCATCCTTATCCTCTATCCATGTACAATACACATCTGTGGAATTAATTACCAATTAATTTTATAACACAGTGCTTAGAAAGGTCAAGCTTTTGTCTT